TTCAACGAAAGGAGACTGTGACCACACAATCTACCACACCATCTTAGTCTTCCCACCTTCGGTATAAACAATTATTTTCATTCTCGATCTTCTACATTAGAGCGGATCACTAAACTGCCAGTTTATAATATTCTCTACTGTCATTTAACATAGTGTGGTGAAGCTAGCGTAGTCTACATTTCCATATTATGCTGAGGATATTTTATCTAAATTGTATTTGGATTCAAATTCCTTTAGGCTAACGTGGTAGATTTAGGACTTGCTTTTAACCATGAAACGACTTTCAACTCCATCAGTTGTATAATAAAAGTGACGTGCAATAGCACGAATATTTTAATAAAGAAGATATTCCTTAAAGGCCGAACTTCCGATAAAACCTTATACATTCATTAAGCCTTATACTTTGTACTGTGTCAAGAATTTAGTTTTGATCTCTCCATCTAAGGAAAATTTTGATCTGATGTCTACAGGTATCTCATATAGTTTAAAACAGTCTGTAAGTCGACAACCTTAAGAAGCAGAGATTTATCAGTGGACTTCACGTTTTATAGCGAATATGGAGTAATGGACAATCTAATCTTTATAATATTCTATTGGGCTTTGCTTATGGCGATAGAAATCACAGCAGGTTGCAGTCTAGACATCCGGACATCTTGCGTTTTCAATTATATGGGTTAAATTACTAGTTCACGTGTCCAATTTATGATTTTGATCAATGTATACAGTCAGTAAAAGCTGTCTCAAGGATTTACGTATTTATATTATATAATATTTTAGGCTGGAATATAATATACATAATACAATACTTTACCATAGATTAATTCCAATTATAAATCTATCAAAAACGCAATTTAATGTCCTCCTCCAATATACAATGCCACCATGTATTCAACTGTATTAAAACTTAATATATTTTAAAATGGCATAGTACATTAACCAATATAATGCAATTACCATGTCAGTTTTTGGCTACCCAAAGCTAAACTAACAGGGAAAAATAAGTAGGAATTTAACATATTATGAAAACTTTTGCTTACACTTGCATTAAACAAACAAACACGATATGATAATTTATACTTAACACTCAAACAAATATTAATTAGTTAATAGTCAAGACAAAGCAACTTTGATCATTAAAAAACTTTTTAACTTATTTCTCCTTTTACCTAAAGAATGTGGATGATTCTGACACCGAAAACGAAAATGCCGATACTTTAGCGGTGGTCTCCATTCGCTGCCTACTTAGCATAATCCTTCAAGCATCTTCTTCAAAAATTCGCGCGTCTGCACTTAATTTTAAAATTTATTCTAAACATCTGGAATTGCTTCGCCTACTTTTATCTGCCACACCTTTTGCTCCGGGTATCGGACTTTTGGATCAACCATATACGGAGAATCGATCCTTAATCTCTTCAGAGCCATGCATCAACGAGCCTCCAGGGAAGTCGAACATATTGTCTATGACACATGATAGCATGCCGACTAGCCTCAGCCTGGAGGCCATGCAAACTCACTCTCAATTAGCAACACGAGTGACTTCAAATACAGAGTCCGCAGATTCACCCTTACATAGCCTCGATGGCAGAATTCCCATTTTGGGACTCTATCAATTGGCAGAACCTCGTAAGTTGGTATTTTTGATGAATGACTAGATTCGAGGCAAAGCTGCAATATTAAATAGGCAAATACAAATAGAAATAGCAAATAATTGTTTAAACATTTCATAGCTCAGTAGGATTTACCGAGTTCCAATATGGATGCTAATGGCAACTGCTAGTGTGGAGAACTCGGATGTTTATATAAAGGAAGACGTTCATCCTAGGCAGAAACCCTCTTTAGATAATAGATAAATTTAAAAAAGCCTTGCATATTAGTTCTGACTAGACTCGCATTTTAATCTTACTAAAAGATGACGGATTCCCTCTAGTTTCTTGTCCTTTCATTTTTATGGACCTCCCCGGTG